ATAGTATAATTGTATATCTGTGATTTTATCATTTTCAGTTATTTTATTAATTTCAAAAGGCGACGTGATAAACCCGCCACTTTTGACTGTTATTTGACCAATATCCCCAACCTTCTTTGTTAATATCGGCCCAATAATACAGACGGCCCTCACAATAAAAATACCGTCACGTATTCCTTGGCGTTAAAAAATGGAGAAAGTCGTTGAAGAAGTCCGCGAGGGTCGTTTGCCTTTTTTTAACAATTAAAAACTACCAGGAATTGACTTACAAATGCAGTTTCTTGGATGCTGAAAGAGACATAAAGGCCTGTAACATTTAGCCCCCACAGGTAAATTTGGAGACAAACAAAGCAGGGATAGACCCAGAGCAACTTATGTAGAGGGCCGAAATAGATTATGTGACAGGAAAAAATTAGGACAACGTAACATTTTTTAGAGCATCCGAGCAAAGATATGGATGGAGAATTATGATCACCGATGTTTGTTGCAGATCTAGCACTATAGGATGATCCCTTGTCAAGAAGCTTTACTGTAGGTTCGTTGGTTACAGTATGTTGTCCTTGGGAGCAAACAGGCTTAGAATTTGTAATAATAAATATCGTTTAATACAATTTGTATAGAGCAGATCCCTTCTCAACAGCAATCTGTTTGCACTTTACAATCTACACGTACGGAAATACCCCAGCAGGCCCTTTCATACATCAGAAATATTCTCGGCTGCCCTGGAAGCATACAGTGCAAGCAGCCGATTAAACGCTCAAACACTAACAAAGTGACAAGATCTTGCATCGTCAATACAAAAGCACTCATTCTCATCTAGGTGAAATCAGGAAAAATTCGTGTAAAGTGCCTTTGCCAAAGATACAAAGTCGCGTCCCCTGACGAGGTTCGAACCCACGACTTTACGGTTAAGAGTCCGAGAACCTAACCTCAAGACCACCGAGGCCCAGGGTTTCTTGTGTATGTCACCTGTTTGCCGATGCTTCCAGAATCTGATTAGTCATTTTGTGTCTCCGTTCCTGCATGTGTGTACTCGTGGTGCAAGAATGGTGAGAGCAGAACAATAATAAACTGTGTTGGAAATGTTTCTCTTCAAGTAAACGATAACTACCGCATCAACAAAAACAACAACAGCAGCAGCAGCAACAACAACAAAAACAACAACTGTCCGGAACCCCAGAATGTTTTTGAGTGTGCAAGGGTCTCCTGGGTTATGAACCTGCATGTACTGTACATTGTAAAGTGCATTCAGATAGTGGTGAGAATAGATGCACTATACAAATTAAATGTTATTTATTTTAACAAACATTATCATCAGAGTAATAAAAGCACGTATACAGATAGCAATACTAAACAAAAGCAACAATAACAACTGCATAAACAAGAAGAACAATAGCGAGAACTAATATGTGAATTCTTTCCACATCAATATTCCGGACAGATTGACCTTCAACTCACTTTTCAAGCAGCGATGACAGACCGCCATCAGATTTAGAATCATCACCCTCATAAAACCTCATTTGTCCCAATAATCTGCCTGTTTGAGAGAGAATTCAACCGAAAATTAGCCGAACATCTGAAAAAAGGGGGAGCGGGGCCTGGAAAGTGATTGGAGCCAAGAATCACGTGCGGAAAAATCCCAAAGTTTTCAATGCCATCAAGACAGGATACAACGCTTCTAATTTGTTGAAGGCCAATTTTTTAAAGTTAAGGTCTGCGTTTACAGTCGTGCGTTTCGGAGGAGGCTCATATGGCTTTATGATAAACATCAAGGTTCATTCCACATGCAACGACAGTTCCGGGGAAACACAGATAGTTAGACACTTAAATCTGCTATCATTCATCTATTAGGTCTCAAACAAACGACTTTATCTTTAGCAAGTCAAATAACTTAACTTTTATTGATAGGGGCATTTAATTTTTTTAAAAATTCCTAATAGATAAAATTCAACTGTGTTATAACACTTCTGGAACCAGGAACCACTGGAATATTTCGATTAAGTTTGTTGATATTTTAGTTATTATAATACTGTGGTTTTTTTTAGCCCTGAATTTAATTTGTATTGGCAACAAGGAAGTGTACTCCAGGGACAATTAAGACAACAGGGAAACACTGTGTCACATTTCTTTCTAAATGAATATCTAGATCCTAAGAGATTCTCTTGTTTTGACGGGTAGAATTATTTGACGTTTATGCTTTCTACTGTTGTTATAACCACATCTTCGTTTAGAGATTATTTTAGACAGGTTCTTCACTTTTCCTGGTCATCATTCCGCTGTGAAGTTAGGGTTGGGACAAAAGGACCGTGGTCTTGGAAATAACCAATTTGCCTCTGTAGTCATCAATATAGTTTAGAAAAAAAGTGTCTACTGCCCTGAATCACCCGTCTCAACGTCTCAACTAAACACCACAATTTAAGACAGTTTGGTGGCAGGCATTGTTGTACCACAAACCCA